CCCCCCCCAACACTTGATGAGCAGAGTTTGTACCTTCCAGGAGTCTGGGGCTTAGAAAATGGCTTTTCTTTTTTCTTTCCTTTTTTTAATAATATGGTTTTTTATTGATTTTAGAGAAGGAGAGAGACAGAGAAACATCAGCGAGAGCGATACATGGATCGGCTGCCTCCTGCGCGCCCCCTCCTGGGCATGGAGCCTGAAACCCGGGCATGTGCCCTGACCCGGAGTCGAACCCGTGACCTCGTGGTGCAGGGACAGTGCTCAACCACTGAGCCACACCGGCTGGCGAGGTGGCTTTTCACTAAGAGGAGCTGCCTGCCCAGCTCCCTGTGCGTGATTCACACTGTGCCCTCCCCTTTCCTATCGATGACGGAGTCTCCTGAACCCCGCTCGCCCCCAGTGCCCAGCCTGCGGTTTGCCTGGTGGCTGGGGAGCACTCGTGCGTCCCCCGGTGCGATGGTGTTTCGGGGTAACGCCAACACTCCTGCTCACGCGCTGAGCCTCTGTGCCGAGAGCTCCTGCGTTTTAAATCATCTCCGGATCACTCTGTGCAGCGTTTGCTGATGTCTCTGGAACCATAAGTGCCCCTTGGCAAGATAAAAGAACCTATTAAGTCCCCCAGATTTTTATGTTAACACACTTCAGAAACATCTGGAGTCTCTCCTTAAAGCTAAGGAAACTGAGGCCAGAGATGTTAAGTGCCTCGTTCAAGGCTGACTTCCTAACGAGGGTTGGCGATCAAGTGACCACAGTCCATCCTGAAAACAGTTAAGGTAACAGCAGCTGAAGAGGGGCTCTGGCCGGTGTGGTGCAGTTGGCTGGGCGTCGTCCAAGCACCAAAAGGCCGCCAGTTCGATTCCCATCAGGGCACGTGCCTGGGTTGTGGCTCCATCCCCAGCGGGGGCAGCTGATCAGTGTTATGCTCTCGCATCGACGTTACCCTCCCTCTCGCTTCCTCTCTCTCTCAAAATCAATAAAAAAATCTTTAAAAAAAACAAACACCCGAAGAGGGCTTCTGAACCTGACGCTCTGCAGTGGGACGTGCTGTGGAGTTGGCGCTAATGACCCCCTCCGCCTGGTGGGGACACTTTGAAGCTTAAGCTCTGTCTCTTCATATAAGGATTGTGACTTTTGTTTGTATGAACTGCCCCAAAATACTTAACCACTCCAAAACCCAGACCTTCCTTTTGTTCACTAATTTTGCTCAGCCTTGCAGCTCCGTGGATGCGCTGTAAACTCACCAGACCACGTAGGTCCCTTTCAAGCTTCTGTCCACGGACGCCCTTGAAGGCAGGTCCCCTCGTCCTCGAATCTCCCGCACACGGCGTCCCCACGCTGTAGCTGGTGCGACCACTGTGTGTCCCTGGCGTGGCTACTTGGTGGGGCGAACACTGGGAGGGAGTGAACCTTTCTTTATGGTCCATTTAGTTCCGTAAAATGAAAATGAGTCGGCTCAGAAGAGCCCGGCAGACGTGGGTCTGAGGACCTAGAATGAGAAGTTGGGTGAGTTGAATCCCCTGACGGCCCCTTGCGGCTGGCCGGCCGCGGCTGTGAGTGCGTGACCGTGGCCGCCGTTCCGGGTGACGCTGGGTTTTCTGCATCGCTCAGCGGGTGTCTTTCTCTGACGTTGATGGACTGTCTCTGTTGACCACAGGTTCACGCCCTACGAGTGGTATAACCCCCACCCCTGCAACCCCGACTCGGACGTGGTGGAGAACAATTTTACTTTGCTGAACAGTTTCTGGTTCGGAGTTGGAGCCCTCATGCAACAAGGTACCTCGGCCGCCCCCCACGCCCCACGGTCTGCGGACGGGCTTCCGCGCGGTAAACTCCACGGCGCAGAGGCCAGGCTCAGGGGCTGTCGTGGGAATTAAAATATAGACCCCGACTTCCTGGGCAGTTCCAGACATAGCAGAGCCAAAAATGCGGCCCAAGGGAACTTCTTTGCTGTGTGTCTGAAATAAGGCTTCTCTCAAGCAATGAATGCAAATTTTCCTAGAGGGGAGTCAAAAAAAACGCACCTGAGAAATTGTTTGCAGATTTGCCTGGACGGAGGTATCAGTCTCCTCCTTTCAGCCGTAACCCCGCCAGTCAGGGGTTTGAGAGGAGTGGAGCTGGTGCCTTTGAAAATTAAGTTGACTGAACATTCTTCCTAAAACCGTCACCTAATTTCCACTCCGACAGACCGACTGGGAGTCATCTCAGCTCCCAGGGGACTTTCTCCGAAGCTCCCTCACCGGGTAGAGCAACAGCCACCGGGAGGGGCTGGGGAGATAAAACTCCAACCATAGAAATACAACGTATTTTACACATTTTGATAATCGGGGGGATTTTTATGTTGTTGGAAGGGGGAGAAGTGAGTTGTTTCAACCTTTGGAGGAAATCTAGCTCTTTCGTGGGTTTTTCTCAGCTTTGGTCCCGGGCGTCCTGCCTGGAAAGTGCTTCCCCAGATTAAACACATTAATCGAAGGAAACCACAGGTCATAGGTGCTGCTCTGTTTGCAACACCTGCTGATTGGACAGTAAGCTGCAAAATAAGTTGGAAAAGGAAAATTTAACTGGGGTACATAGGGTGTCCCCCAAAAATGTATACGCACACTTTGAATAATTACAAAGGCAGGTTTATTAACATACATTTCATTTTCAAAATTGTGCTATCAGCTGTTAACGTGTGTCTACATTTTTGGGGACACCCTGTATGTCAACCACGTTTGTGACGGGCGAGCCCCAAGGCGTCTCATGAGGGAGCCCTTATACCACTTGAAACGTCCGTATTCTGTCCCCGTGTGGAAATACCCAGTAGTGGAGGTAAGTGGGAGAATCTTCTCACCGCGAGTCAAGCGCAGTTCATGTGACCGCGGCTAAGCAGGTGTAGGTGCGGCCCCTGGTTCCCTAGACGTCGCCTGCGTGAATCTGGAGAATAGAGAACTATCCACCCTGCAGGAAACCCCTTAGAAGCCGTCTGTGCTGTACCAGAGCGCGTGCAGTCCAGGGCATTTACGGGCGAGCGGTTACCTCCGGCGAGTGAAGGGGCCCCTCGCCCAGGGCGGGCCTCCCTGTGGGGCTGGGACAGGAAAGGCGGCCGGGCCCACAGAGAACCCCGCAGGGCGCGTGGCGCGCCTGCCCCGGCCGTCTCCTCCCGCCCACCTGCTTGGAGTTTACCACCTCCGGCAGCAGACCGTGGGGTGCGGTGTCTGCCGTCACCACGGCCGGAGTAAATGACAGTCAGCCCCAGCCAGGCTCTGCTCGTGCTTCACGAAGTCGAAAAACATTCCTCAGGTGACCCAACATCACCGCCTACAGATCTGCGGCCTGGTGACGGCCGGTCATCTGTCCTCGCAGGTGGCCCTGGGCCGGTAGCTCCCTTCAGTTCTGACTCTTGCGCTCGCTCCCGTTGGCAGAAGCTTGTCACTGTCCCCGATTGGAAGCCATCTGTCGAATTTCCCTTTCAATGTGACGGTCAGACGCGCTCTTTCCTGCGCGGCGCGGGCGGAGTCTGGACGGGACTGGCTGTCATGTTCCCGCTAACAGGCGCTGGGACTCGTCAGCAAGGATTGGGTCTCATCCCAAACGTTCCCCAAAACGCTTTGCTCGACTCTCGTTGTTTCCATAACTTCATTCTCTCGAGCTGTGAACTCGCACAGTCGTTTCTCCTGGAGGGAAGCCATTGCCAAGTATTTCACTTAATGTTGACAGTCGTGAAAGTCAGAAAATTGCGTGAAAATAACAAGCCCGGTGAAATGTATAGAAGTGTAACTCGTACCATCTACTGAGGGTTTAAAATGTAACCTGAGTAGTTTTCTACTGGTTATGTTTTAATTCCCAAGACAACTTTATCCAAAAGTATAAATACGTATTTTAAGTGTGATAGCTGTGAATTTATACTATTTTTATTAGTTGGCAACGGTTGGTTCTCCATCTGTCTGTCCAGTTCTACTGTTGTATAAAACATTATATAAGTAATGGACCTGAAACCTTACCTTTCCATGAATGCATCCAAATAACACAAGGGTGAATTTACAGCAGAAAAGCTATACCTACAAGCTAAGAAAATATACCTATTAGCTCTACTGCTTATTTCCCATGGCTATTTTATGAAATAAATGCTATTTTAATGATAACCAACTAAAGATCTAAAATAACATCCCGCTGCCACGAGGCAGCTCAGTCAATTAAGTACAAAGATACGAGGCAACCTTGGGCAGTAAACACACCCACCCCAGGCACACAAATCCCATTAAGCCACAAGATTAAAACAACAGCAACAAACTCTCCCACCAAGTCCTCGGAGGCAGTTTAGTGGAAACTATTATAAATCTGTGTAATATTATACACCCAAATTCAAACAAAAAAACAAAGGAAGGAAATGCAACCGCAGTGAAATGTTTATTTAGCTCATTAAAAGAGGGTCCAGCCCAAAGATAACTAATATCCTGAGAAGAAACATCCGTTAATTCAGAGCCTCTGTCAGTCTTGACCTGCTCAGCAAGAGCCTCGAGCTGGCTTTGATTCCACAAGGAATATGTATGTGTCTGTGGATAGATTCGACTTGAGCATAAAGTCATTTATTTGTAGGTAGCTGAACTCCAATTTTCCTCTATCTGAAACCATGAACTACAAAACAAACAATCAGAAATGTGAGTCTTCAGACCAGAGGTTTCACCTGCTATACTTTAAAAAATATATATGTGTGTTTTTATTGATTTCAGAGAGAAGAAAGGAGAGGGAGAGAGAGAGAAACATCAGTGATGAGAGTCACTGATCGGCTGCCTCCTGCACGCCCCTGACTGGGGATCGAGCCGGTAACCCGGGCCTGTGACCCGACCGGGAATCAAACCGCAATCTCCTGGATCCCAGCCCGATGCTCACCTGCTGACCACACTGCCGGGCTCACCTGCTGCACTTCAACCCTTTGGATTTTTTAACTTGGGTGTTTTAAATGGTCACATAAACTCTGAGACACCTCCAAGTTCAGGGAGGAAATGCTGAGCGCAGAACCGATGGTGAATTTTAGGCAAGCGGATTTCCCAAAATCTACCCAGGGATCGGTGTGACTGGAGCGAGCTCTGCCTGCGCCCCCTGCCCCTCTGAATCCTCTTGCTGGGTTTACGGAGGCCCCAAAGCCCAGTCGGACCCAGTGTCTGAGCCAGAGAATTTCCAAAGATGTTTCTCCGCATTGTCAGAAAGCTCGGCCCTCACACCGTCTTTCAGAGAGAAGGGCTTTCTTGGTAAACACGTTATTTGCCTCTATTTTATCTTTTACAAATAACCAGGAGTCATCGACTGTACAATGTGTGTTTTTACCAAGAAGGGTCCCTTTCACCTGAGAAACAGCCCATCTTTGAAGCCTAAACTTTGAGAAATAGCACTTAATTTAAGGGCAGAATTATGCTTTTCAGTGAATATAGTCTTTTCAGTCAAGTAAGACTCTACATTAGAAAAAATTAATTTGACTCTAAAAATAAGACAATAAAAAATGATTCCTCTTCTCTCAAGCCTGCCTGCATCTTTACCCAACTCGATTTGTAAAATCCCAACGTCATTAAAGCACATGAGATAAACGGTATAACATGTTAATCTTCTGAGAGGCTCTCACATATTTAACCTCAAACAAAAACACGTTAGCATTTCAAAGCTTTGTAGTTGTACAAAGACATAGAACCGTTTATTTAACACAGTGAGATGCACATTAGACGGTAATAAAAGGCCAGAAGTCTGGGGTTGACTTTTCGACAAAAACAAACCAACAAATTCAAGACAGAGCAGCTAAGTGAACCCTGTAAGTTTTAGACGTAGATTATCTCAGGGTTAAAACCACTTATTGCCGTCAAGTGTTCATAAATTACACTTTAAGCAGCAGGAGTGATTCATGATAAGGGATCATTTAAATTTTAATTTAAAAAATCCATTTTCTTTTAAAAAAAAATACGTCAATTTTACCTACACACAAGGCCTCTCTTTGATGGCGTCTTTGATGGGTTTACAATTTTTATGCCACAGAAACGCGCCCTACCCCCGAGGCTGGCTCAGCCGTGTGTTTCTCCCTGTCCTAACCGGCTGACGCTCTCCCTCTGGTGCTGCCACCACAGGCTCGGAGCTGATGCCCAGAGCCCTCTCCACCAGGATAGTCGGAGGGATATGGTGGTTTTTCACCCTCATCATCATTTCGTCCTACACGGCCAACCTGGCCGCCTTCCTGACCGTGGAGAGGATGGAGTCCCCCATAGACTCAGCGGACGACCTGGCCAAGCAAACCAAGATCGAGTACGGGGCGGTCAGGGACGGCTCGACCATGAGCTTCTTCAAGGTAAGAGACGGCGGGTCCTCGGCCGCCATCCCGTGCTGGGGGAGGGGAACGGGGACTGCGGGAGTCTCCCCTAGAACAAGGGATATTGGGCACATTTTTGGGGAGAATATAAAAATTTTAATGACCATGTGCCCCCAGCAGTGAGCATAAAGCAATGTCTTTGGTTCCTCTACTCCCAGTTTAACGCACTCAGACCAGGGATCAGCAGCTCGGCATCTTCAAGATCCTCTCTTGCCTTTATACCAGAGACGGACAAAAAATGCTGTTTTCTGAAGACAGTCTAAGACCCATTAATTCACCATTCATGCATGGAACCCACAAAAATAAAGATCCCTTCACCTGAAGTTCTGACAGCCAGAATATGTGAGTCTGTTTGGTGACATAGGCCCAGGTGACCAGTAAACGTGTTGATAGGGATGTTTATTTGGAGAATTAGAACGAGAAGAGTCCCAGGAGACCCCAGTCTCGTGCGGTCTCAGCAGCCGGGACAGAGCGCCCAGCGAGGCCGGAGGTCCACAGGGGCCTGAGCACCTCCGGAGGCACCGAAGGAGAACTGAGTTCGAGCCCATGCAGATTCAGGGTCACGTGAATGTCACTGTTCCCGTCTCTAATGAAAGGATGTCTGCCTTCCTTATGGAATAAGCCTCGGTGCTTTTATTGTTAAATCTCAGGTCCTAGAGCTCCCGGGGGGGGGAGGTGGGTTTTAATAGATCCAAGGAGGTTTAGAGAGATGGCAGAGCCAGTCCTTTGCTTTACCCCCAAAGAGAACGGAGCCTGAATCATCCGTTCAGAGTCGCTGGGCTCAGGAGAGACGGGCGGGAACCTTCCTGTAAGAGGCAACTGTGGGGGGAAATGAAAACAGCAGGTGTAACCAAAATAAACTGCACCTCTGCCAAGTTTCACACCCAAAGTACCATAAATGAAGGTGCCGCCCCAGGATTCAGTGGGAAAAGTTTTGAAGAATATTAATTTAGAAACAAAAGCTAAGGGCAAGAAAGAGTGAACATTCTGCTTGTGTGACAGGATTAGTTCACCAAAATAGCCACCGCCTGTGTCGTAAATTTAGTTTAACAACTATTACTAAAAACTTACTTTATTTTAAGAGTGAACATCCCCCCAGGGGTTTATCAAAAAGCAGAGTAATGTAGAGAGTTAGGGTTTGTGCCGTGGCTGGTGTTGCTCAGTGGTTAGAGCACCAGCCTGCTCACCAAAGGGTTGAGGGTTCGATTCTTGGTCAAGGGCACATACCTGGGTTGCAGGTTCCATCCCCAGCCTCTTTCCGGGTGCGTGGGAGGAAACTGATCAATGTGTCTCTCTCACATCGATGTTTCCCTCCCTCCCTCCCTTCCACTCTCTTTAAAAAAAAAAAAAAATCAATGGAAAAAAAATCCTCCAGTGAGGATTCACAAAACAAAAAAAGGTTAGGATTGGCTTTTCTTCTATGTTAAAAAGATCTTTAGACAGTTTTTCATTTGAAGAAACATGTCATCAACTTGATGAGTGGAAGGGTGGTGATTGTCGCTTCCCTGGACAAGTGTGGTTTTGAGGACTCGCGACTAACTCCGTGTCCCCCAAGCTTCTGAAAGGTGGGCTGTTGTGAAATCACAGTGCGAAGAGAACCAGGCCAGGGATTCATCTCGAACTCAGAAACCAGGGACGTCGCCCGAGGGACACACGTGCATGTACACGTGCTTTTCTGGGAACAGCAGCACTTTGTTGCCCTGTGTGTGCTCAGAAGATGCTTCTTATTGGAGGTTTTCTTGACCTGAGTGGAGATGGTCCCCGTCGGGCCCCAAGGAGGGACCAACGTGCCGGTTTAGATGCAGTTTTCTTAGTCACGCAGCAGCTTGAGAGAGGGCGTTGTTCTGGGGGGAGGGGGCGAAACGTTAATGTTGAGCCGGCTCAGGACCAGGTCCCTGTGGCCACAGTTGCTGTCACCCAGTGTCTCCGGTGGAAGACCCGGGACCGGTCATCTCCCTCGTGGGATAACCCAGTTTAAGGGCCCCGAGCGTGGGACCCTCTGCAGCTTTCTGACGGCTCGCCTCCCTCAAGGGGAAACTAAGTGGGATTTAGCCCTTGCTCTTTTTTTGCAAATAAATTCCATCTTGATAAATAAGGTCGCTGGGCTATCAGCAAACTTGTAAATCGAGGGACTTGGCAACAGGGTCTCTTCCTGCGCGGGTCTCTGTTATGTTCCCCACTACGGTCTTAATGTGTCCCCCCAAATTTTTATATTAAATTCTAACTCCCCAAGATGATGGAATGAAGAAGCTGGGCCTTTGGCAGGTGCTGACGTCATGAGAGGGGAGCCCTGTGAGTGGAATTAGCGCCCCTACGGCAGAGGCTCCAGGGAGGTCCCTGGTCCCTCATGGGACCTGGGCGCGGCCTCGCCGGCCACGCTGCTCCCTGGTCTTGGGCCTCCAGATCTGTGAGGAGGAGACGCCTGTTGTCCATAAGCCCCTCGTCTGCGGTTTCTTGCCGCAGCTCCCCCCTCCTCTGCCTGGATTGCTCATCTCCAAATTCATTAGTGCGTTTGTTTATTCATTTACCAAAAACATATTGTCTGAGTGCTCACCACGGGCCAGGCCCTGTTTCAGGTTCTGGGAATGTCTGGGACTCAGCCCCGTCTCTCCTGAGTTCACACCGTGGAGAGTGGAGTCTCACCAGACCTATATTTTTAAAAAACTAATTTTGTTTTTGTTTCATGTTTAAAATCAAATATCCCAGCTCTGAACTCCAGGGGCACCCTGTCGGCAAGAGCAGCAGATTCTGCACAGAAAAGGCAATGGATTTTGATTGAAACCTTAGCGGCATTTTCTGGCCACAGTTTTCAAGGAGAAGCTTCATTAAGACCATCACAGAGGCCGACAGGAGGGATTAGTGGTTTTGTTTGTTGATGGATTTTGGTGATTTCTGTCACCCTCCTCTCCTTGCAGCTTATTTAAGAAAAGGCAGCTTCAAGGCTGGGACGGTGAAATTCTCCCAGTACCAGGGGCCGTGTATTTCTCCTTGTAACACCGTTAATTAATTAACGAACAGACTCTTTTTATAAGTCAGTGTGTTAATAATACAGAACTCCAAGAGACTTTGTTTAAGAGAAACGTTCCACCAACCTCCGGTTTTTCTACTTGGGATAACGCTGGTTAATAGCACGTTAACTGCATTGGTTTCCCAGCTCTCTGCTGGCGAGCGAGGTACGTGGTCCTTTCCATGGCTTCAAACCCCGACCAGCGATGGTGTCCCCTGTCCTCCCAGCTCCCTGGGACCACCACCAGCACCTGAGAAAACTCAAAGAGCCGTCAGTTCATGGCCGAGTCCTGCAGACACAACCTGGGTACAGCCTTCCTAAGGCCTACAAGACCCAGTTCCTCCTTTGGACCCCTCAAAATTGGCAGCTCTAACACCCAGCTACAGCTCTTCCTATTATAACAAAGCACCAAAATATAGCATGAGTTTTCTCCCTCTGTCATAGGAAGTAGGGAATGTACAAAAGTTGTATTCTTTCTCCTTGAAATTCTATTAATTATCTTTTTGGATGAATGGAACTGTACAAACTTTGGTCTCTCAGGGACAGATTAGCAAGTCACATTTTCCCCCCCGTGAGGAAAAGATTGTCATGAAAGGGCCTAAGAACCATTTGAGGCCTGAAAGAAAGGATTTCTTAGTGCCCCTTGCAGACCGTCATCGGAGCAGAATGATGGCATTAGTCTGTCCAGAGACCGGGGCTACCAGACAGTCTCCTCCGGGGGTAAGACCGACACAAAATGCTGGGGTACAAACCAGACTTACGGTGCCTCAGATGGCATGTGCTGCAGACAGACAGCTTGGGTTCAAATTCAGACTCTACTGCTCATGAGCGATGGGCTCTGGCAAGTTACAGACTCTCTGTGCCTGTTTCCCTGCCTGTAAGTGGAGGATAACATCTAACTCATGAGGTTATTTTAAGGAATGAGATGACTTTAAGGTGCTTATCCTACTACTTGGCAAATTGTAAACAACAAAAAAGTGAGATATTATTATAATTATGGTCAACAACATCACCGTTAGCTTCCATCCTGTCTCCATAGCTATTAGTCCTATTTTTCAATCCCTCTGGATTTGAAAGACTCTAGTTTGGTCTTTGTTCAGCTTCCTACTGTCAGCGACCTCTGGACAGAAGTGCCCACGATGAGAAAGACTTTCAGAGGCCAGGCCGGACGGAGACCGCAGCCCTTCCAGCCCTTCCCGGGTGCACACACTGTGTCTGCAGGGGAGCTCGTCCCAATGGTGGGCAGGCACCGGACAGGTCCGGCCCTAGAAGCCAGCTGAGGAGCAGACTCAGGCACTTCCACTAAATTCAGCTTGATTTGTGTTTTCCCCAGGATCTCCCATCAGACCAGTGCTTGAGGTTGGTTCTGTCAGGGAGGGAAAGGGTATAAATTTGTGCACGACTTGGACCTGAAAGCAGCAGAGAGGCAGATGCAGGTGGACCTGTGGAATCTGTGCGCCGAGGGATGAATGAGCGTGTTGTGCAGACAGGAAGCGGTCGTACGTCCGAAGAGTCCTTGTGAGCCACGTTGGCCACGAAATAGTCGTGGAAGAAATGCTTCTCAGTAGAAGTTTGCTTTGTAGCCAAGCACTGTCCTCCCAGATCCAAACACAGATCAGATCCTGATTCAGTCTAAAATGACTTGGACAGAACAGGTTTAAAAAGTCACAACAGTCCTGACGACGTGGCTCCGTGGTTAGAGCATCGGCCTGCGCACTGAAGGGTCTCAGGTTTGATTCCCAGTCAAGGGCATGTACCTGGGTTGCAGGTTTGATCCCGGGCCCCCCAGTCAGGGCGAGTGCTGGAGGCAACTGATGGATGTTTCTCTCTTTTTCTCCCCCCATCCCTTTCATTCCCTCTGAAAATCAATGGAAAGTATATTCTCAGGTGAAGATTAACCAAAAAAAAAAGTCCTAAGAGACTTGTCATTTCTGGCTTCCACGGCCTGGACTTCGGGCCAGCCGTGGGAATAAGGGGCTCTCTAACCTTCGTCGTCTCCTTCCAGGGGGCGGGTCGGTGCGGCTGTCACGGCCGATTCATAAGGTGGCTGAGCACCGCACGTGGGCCGAAGCAATGAGCCATCGCCGGAGGGGGGTTCAGACAGAAATCATCATTTACGGGAGCGCAGGGTGGGAGACATTTCTCAGACTTGTCTGCGTAGGAAGGTCGTCTTCACAGGAGACCTCCTAGCTCATGTTTCAAAGATCCAGCTCATTTTATCATCAGCATCCGAAATGTTAAGCCCCTGGAGATTAAAAACGTGCGTGTTTGGGAGGAAATCCATGGGGTCAGTTCAAGTTAACCTTTTCAGAGCCAAGCGCATTGCCTGGAATGGACCAATCTTTAACGCTAGACAGAAGGGAAACATGAAAAATGTCTCAGCAAAGGTGTTTAGATCCCACTGAGGGAATTTTTTAAAGGGGACATATGAATTTTTAAAACCTTGGAGATTCCGAAAATGTCATAACTTTCTATCAACTCGAGATCAGAGCGTAATCAACCATAATGATTATAGTACAGACATTTGAAAGGCAGAGGCTCCTCAGTGCACTGTAACTGCGTTCTTCTGATAGTGTTCCTTCAAAGTGGTTTTTGTATATTAAATTATATTTTAAAACACTGTAAGAAATTATTATTATTTAGTGAAATTATGTATTTAATCATGTGTTAGAGGAGACAATTGTTTTTAAGGCAACTACTCACCTCCGATATATCTACCGGGTGTCCCAAAAAAGTGTATACACACTTTACACAGCTGATTTCTGTTACATTTTGAAAATGAAATGTATTTTAATAAACACTGCCTTTATAATTATTCAAAGTATGTATACATTTTTTGAGACACCCTGTATTTCACAAGTTTGGATTCTACATAGCTGATTTCCATGTCTTTGGTTGATTTTTAAGGTTTTCTTAAATCAGAATTTACTTAAAGTAAAAGCATATTGGAAATTTTAAAATGTAATTGTTTTTGGTATTTCATTTGTTCAATATGGATATATTCACCACATTTATAACATCACTTTGATAAGATAACAAAGATAAAATATCAATAACTTCCCCAGTGTGTATGTGGGGGGGGGTAGATATGTACAAATAAATATATATGAACGTGGATCTATATATAAAATCCTCGGACATATTGGTAGAAGCCTCATGAGCTGGTTGTAGAAATAAGGGGATAAATAGTGCTTGTCTGGGTAAAAGTGAAATATTAGAGGATACACCTATAAAATGGAGGTTCTGTCAGACTTAAGACCATCTTGCACTCCCGAATTTATAGGTACCTTGCACACCATACCTGACACCCTGCACCTGAAAACAGTGGAACCGTATGGAACACAAATTACTGGTAAATAAAAAGATATAAACAGCCCTGGCTGGTGTGGCTCAGTGGTTAGAGCATCAGCCTGTGCACCTAAGGGTCTGGGTTCTATTCCAGCCAACAGCATGTACGTGGGCGCAGGCTCGACCCCGGCCCTGGTCAGGGCGTGGGCAGGAGGCAACCCACCGATGTGTCTCTCTCACATCATGTTTCTCTCCCTCCCTCCCTCCTTTCTACTCTGTCTGAAAAGCGATGGGGAAAACAATATCCTACGGTGAAGATTAACAAAAAAGACATAAACAATATCCAAATTTTCTTCTTGTTTTACCTGTTTTACGTCCAAAAACACTGTCTAACTTTTTGTCTAAACAAATGTAAGCTCACGATTCATCTCCGTGGCTCCCATGCGTTACGTGACCCCGACTATGAGAACTGCAGCCGCTGGGGTTGTAACAAAAGATGCCACAGCCAATCCCTGTGATTATTTCTTTAGGAGACGTTTTGATCCTGTTGAAACGTTAGCAGGTCCCGAGTTTGCTGTTCTGTGCGTTAAGACCTGGTTGATTCCCTCTTGGGACCAGTCGTGGCTGCTTGTTCCTAGTGGCACCTTTCTCATGTGATCACCATGAGGATGAAATGAATTAATGTTTGCAAAATGTTTAGAATAGAGCTTGGCCCACAGTAAACCTGGCACATGCTGGTTTTTATGGCTCCTTTCAATACACAGTTTTAGCTGCACACGGACACATCATAAATCAGTTCCCAGTAAGAGTCGAACTTGCATTATGGGGAAAACAGAGAAATAAGTGATGGTCATCAAATGGTGATACAGCGACGCTTCCTTACAATAGATTTTGGATGAAAAAATGTGTATTTTTCCCCAACAATGTTTCATCAGCATCAGAATAGCCACGTAATTGGGTTTAAACAGACGAAATAGGTTTATCTCAACCTGACGCCCCTCCAGGATTAAAAAGAAAAAGCGGGATGCTTTCAGATTTAATACATGAGGCCTTTTCAGTTTCAGAGACTTCTGCTAAGATGCTAGGAGTACTTTACAAATATTCTAATTAACCTTTGACAAATTCTGTGACATAAGAGCCATCGCTGTTCCTATTTTTTAAACATGTATCACTTGGAGCGATGCAGCCGGTGACAACTATCGAGGACTAGAAGTGAAGAAATGCCCAGACTGTCATTCAGGCAGTTTGCTTGGTCCTTTCATACTTGTGATAATTTTTCATGAAATTAGCTTCTCTTTTAAAGAATTTCTAAGATTTGTGTCTTAAAAAGGGAAAATCTGTCATACCTGGTTTGGCTCAGTGGCTAGAGCGTCAGCCCAAGGACTGAAGGGTCTCGGGTTCGATTCCAGCCCATGGCATGTAGCTGGGTTGCAGGCTCGATCCCCAGGTGCAGTCAGGGCGTGTGGGGAGGCAGCCAATCGATGTGTCTCTCTCTGTCCCCGCCCCTCCCTCTCTCCCATTCTCTCTAAAAATCAATGGAAAAAATATGCTAGGGTGAAGATTAACCAAAAAAATTAAATAAATAAAAAACGCACAGTCCTTCCCAGCAGGTGATGTGAGAACCACCATGATAGGGCTGAATAGAGGCAGGTTTTGAGTTGAATCTTTTCATGACCTTCAACTGCTGGGGGCTGGAAAGGACTCCCTACACTCTAGTTCCGTGAGTGAACTGGTCACTTACTCTGTTTTGTGCACAACTTCCATAGACCAAAAATCCAGTTTTCTAAATATTTACATTTATTTCTTAAATAACATTTAGATACCATGAAAAAGTAGATGGTTCATGGAATTTTTTATATGGAGGCTGACTCCCAGTTTGTATTAACGTGAGTCCTTGAGTGGCACCGGCCGAGCAAACAGGATTAAGATCATTCTTTGAAGAATGTTGGCAGGATGGACATCCACCTACCCCAAATCAGCACGGACAGTGCAAAAGCATTGAATTAGATATCGGGGTTCCTGGGGCCAGGGTTAGCTCTGATACTAAGGTTGTCACTTTCATGAAGTCCCCAACCTTCTGTACCAAACATTCCATTCTCTGTACAAATGGCAGTTTGAATGAGCCAATTTCTAAAATCTTTGACAACTTTCAAGCTTCTAAGAAATCGATTTTCCCATAAGGCAGTCTCCTGACGGAGAAGTTGTTTTCCCAGCTGAGCCGAAGGGCAGGCTGGCCTCCCTGCACTCGCACGAGTAGCTCTTGGTTGTAACTGTAGCATCATCAGATGTTTACAGGTGGAAATCACACGACCACCGAAGCGTTGACCCTGACCCCCTGGAGACGTGGGTTCCAATGTGCAGGTATCTCCGGGTCGAGGCCTCGTGGGGAGAAAATGGCTCCGTAAAATACCCGAGTCTGTGAGGGACTGTTCATTGCATCTCTGTTTGTCTCACAAGACCTTTCTCAAGGGGCTTTTCATATGTCTAATGATCTAAAATAGAGTCATCGGTCTCTCCTACCCCATAAAGCCGACGGCATTAACCTCGGCCTAAAGCAGTCAGGAACTGAGTGAGCCCGGGAACGGCAGAGCATGAACCACCACCGAGAGCTGATTCCACGGCTGTTCCATCTATTGCTTAGGCCCCAAAGCATGTTCTCAGCTGATCTCCCCCCGAGGCGAGTCGCCCCGTGCCCGCCGAGGGAGCTGTGTGGCCTGTGGGCACCAGCACGAGAGTTAGCCCAGAATTATCAGTCACTCCTGTAACATCTTTTGTCTCACAAATAAGTGGAGGGAAGTGTTGGTGCAAATGAAGACAGATTTAGGGAAAAAATGGGAACAATATGAAAATTACAGAGTAAAGTGTAAACTGTCTAGTCATAGATCACTATTCAAAACAGAAATTTCATGGCTAAGCACTATGAAAACCTAGGCAGTATATTTTAACAAAGATGAGAGAGTGGGATATATAAGTGCATATATAATATATCATATATGTGGTTTATTATGAAATCTATCCCAAAAATGCAAATAAGAGGAAAGACAAAAGCATAGAAAACTTTGAAATCAAATACTCAGTCCTTCTGAAATCAACAGAAGGACCTCGAGCCCAGGTCTCACCAATCGGACAAGGTCTCCTTTTCCTCAGCAGCCGCCTCCTTGGGTTCTTCTCAGCTGCTCGGCTGCAGTCCCAGGACCATGAATCTCGGTTTCCCTCCTAAAGATGAAAAACCTTCCCTGTGCTGTTGAACCATGGGGACCTGACTGGCTTTGGGACACACTTTCTCAGCCCGCCCTCTTTTGCTTTCCCTGCAGAAGTCCAAGATCTCCACCTATGAGAAGATGTGGGCCTTCATGAGCAGCAGGCAGCAGGCCCTGGTGAGGAACAGCGACGAAGGCATCCAGCGTGTGCTCACCACGGACTACGCCCTGCTCATGGAGTCCACCAGCATCGAGTACGTGATGCAGAGGAACTGCAACCTCACTCAGATCGGGGGCCTCATTGACTCCAAAGGCTACGGCGTGGGGACACCGATAGGTAAGAGAGGCGGGCACCGGCTGGGGCTGAGCGGGGCCGGGTCGCCGTGCAGTGTAGCGGGGACAGGCTCGGAGAGGCCTCCCGTGAGTGCTCGAGGGAGTGCACTGACAACCGGGGAAATGCCCTCATAGATCGGAGGCGTGTTTTGAATTGACAATTCCCAGATATTTAACCTAAAAAATTTTCATTCACTACTTCTTTCAAGCTCTACCACTAGGTATCTGTTTGAGTCTATAGATTTTATTATTTTACCCCAAATATCTTAAACGGAATATCTTCTGATTAATTTTCCTCACGTTTTCTTCAGTACCTATACAATGCCTATATATTTTTCTGCCTTAAATTATATTAAAATACAACAAAATTAATTATGCAAATAGATGATAGAAGTTGAAGGGCTAGGTTTCCATGTCAATAGATGTAAAAACAAGACTGTGCCTACACACTAAAAAGGGTAAACATTAAATTATGTTTGCTCAGGCACAGACGTGCTAGCTTCAGTCAGTGAAAATGACCTAAAACCTCCCAATATCCCTGTTCCATGACTTGTATTACTGCTCTCCCGGGGATATTACGGACCTAGACATACAGACCCGCACGGCGAGGTCTTCTTGAACGGCTGCTCCACAGAACTACATTCGTGCTCAAGGGACAGTTACTGAGCCTCACTCTGTGGAAAACCGTGTAGTACAAGGTTCTAGCACAGGGGCAGTGGGCTCTTCTCAAGGACTCGCTGGTGGGCTTGTGGTAAGGATTCCACAGGAAGGTCGCAGCCTTCGTAACCGCTGCGCCGGCCCAGTCAGCAGAAATCTTGGTAACAGTCAAGTCAGATCATTAAGGATCCAAGGCAGAGTCAGTGTGTTTGTTTGTTTATCATTTTTGTTGTTTGAAAGGAAGTATTCAACTCAACCCTCAACGTTAGGCAGGGATCACAACTTAGGTGCTGCAGGGACCAACGAGATACCATCACTGACTGAAGCTTGATGCTTGAGGAGATGATGGGAACAGTAGTGACTTTGGAAAATTAGAGACCACGTGGCTCTCCTCAGGGGCAGCTGTCTTTCAGGTTAGTCAGCTGTACACGTGGGAATTTGAGTACAAGTTTGTGAGATATTCCCATTTTCATGAAAAAAAAAAACACAGAGTTTAGGCAAACTGTCCTGATATTTTAGTTTAGCAACAAATTCACTCAAAGAAAAAGACTATGTATCCCTTATTCAACTTTTGATCAATACTAATTTAATTAATCAGATAAAGGTCAGCTCTCCTCACCTTCTACCAGGAATACACACCCCGTTTGACTCTCTGCTATCTACCTGGTGTTAGAAATATATGCTATGGAGAAATTAACTTCATTATTATTATTATTATTATTATTATTATTTGTATCTTCTAAATAAGTCTTCTGCAGAATGACTGGGCCAAGGATACTGTAACTATTGTTTTATGCCTTAATTTCCAATAACCTTTCCTGATGAAAATACCAATATTGCTAATGAAGTGTGTGCATTTTCCCCAAGCGGTAAAGTAAACTCTCCTGTAATTAAGTCAAATGTCAGCAGGGGCAGCAGGGTTGTAAGCCACTAAGTAAAAGGGTACAGCGTCTCTTTTTCGTTTGAAAAGCAATGTCCTCTCGCCCTGACCGAGCTCTGCCCCTCATTTTAGGTAGATAGGGAGGAATAGGAAGTGGGGAAGCCAGACAGAGGCTCTCTTTTTAAATCCTATTACTCCTGATTTTAGTCAAACGGGCCACAGTCAGACACGACACAGGAGTGGGTGACTTCGCCCGAATCTTTTCAAAATCCAGACCTTGGGATTGATTGTAATATACAATCAATCTGCATTTCTTAGAGGAGCACCTGTCACTTCTCAGTAGGACGATCCATAGACTAGACTATAAAGTTGAAAACTTCCATCAGTGCACTTCTTTCATTCCGTCTTCCACCTTGACCACCTGGCTACACCCCTCTTTGCCCCCCAAATTCCCTGCCTGGTAATAATGACAGAATATAACAACACATATCACTCCTTCTGAGAATATCTGCCCTTGAATATAAGACTTTTAATGGGTGTTTCTTCTACCAAATGGAACACAACTCTGAAGCTAATTTGTTTTCCGGGTGGGGAAGCAAGGGGCTCCCTTCTGCAACCCCCCTGAATTAATACAGTGCTTTGAAAGTTACTCTGTGCTCCCGTGGGTGAGGCAGACCCTCTATGAGAGTCACTGTGTTTTATATAATGTAATAGAGATTCGAATGCTGCAGTTCAGTCTGCTCTCGGCCAACCTCATTCACACTGGGGCACACGCTCCTAAGTCAGGGAGTCTTTCCCCCTCCCCGGAGGAGAAGAAACACACCCCAGGAATTTTTTACAGTCACTGCAAACCTGTCAGGCTATTAAACCAAAAACAATGAAGGGATCATTGGAGCAGATGGCAGAGCTTAGAGAGGATGCATCCATCGGGGGTGCAGCTGCTGGACGGATTTGTGAGATATTTCTTCCCTACGATGCATTGACGTTTGAGAAAGATCAGCTGCTATTCGGGACATAAACATTTCTTCAAGTGACTTGTCATAAATCACCTCCAACATCACTCGGTCCATTTAAGCAACAGCAACGAAGATTGATGTTGAAATATATTCGAATATAAAGAATTTTCTGCTCATTTCTGGTCCTGCCCTGACTGGGTCCCTTGAGCCCCAGACTCTTTCAAATGGTCAAAGGTCAGCAAAGTCAGCTCGGTGCCAGCACAAAATTGAAAACTTTGCTTCTTGAAGACACTCAGGATGGACGCTCTGGGAATGTGCTTCCTGAGGAATCTAAGATAAAACTTTAAAAAAAAACCACAAAAATAAACAAAAATAAAACTTCAAGAGAATGAGAACAGTTCAGGCTTAAACAGGATAGTGGGAGACTGGAAATTACCTTCCTTGGAGGCAGCTTTAAAAAGACCGATCCCTGCACACATGAAGGGGCTCGGGTTTGTGCAGTCTGAGGACAGGAGGGCCCCTCAGCACGTACTGAGCGCCCACTGTGTACAGCGGGGAGGATGGTGTGGCCTCTGCTGTAAGAATCACTCTTAACTCTTCGAAGCACTTTCACGGAACTCACACGCTCCGGTGGTGTCAATGGTGCCAATCTGGACACCAGGGGATGTTTAAACAACAGTCAGTATCTTTTCATTTGGCTTTCGAGAGCATCCTCTCACCAAAAAAAATCCATATTCTTCACGGACGAGCCAAGATCTAATTCCAAGACATTCTGCTTGTCTTTTAAACTGGGTTTTGAGGACAGATGGTGACTTTGGGAAGTCCTGGGTGAAAAGAAACACAAAAAACAACAGCAAATGCCAGAATGTTAAGTCTCTGCTTTCCCAGCCTGAACATTACACAGAGTGTGAGGTGTGTGTGGAGGTTTGGGGAGGCCGGGGGTTCGCACAGCACGCGGAGGAAGAAGCTTCGACGGAAATGACACCAGCAGAGAAGCAGGGGAACTGAGTGAATTTCTAGGCTCTGCCGGTAACTGTTCGCTCACTAAGGTTCTTCGGTTCTAGATTAGTGGACTTGACTACACGAGATTCCTGGTTCTAAGAGGCCACATTTTTCTATTTGCTACTTTTATTATTATTATTATTATTGCGTTTTTCTGCTTCTACCAAGAAGAACTTTAAAGTTTGCAAACAGAGAGAGCAACACTCCTACTGAGCAGAAGAAATACAAACAAAAATGCTTGGCATCTGAGGAGCGACAGCAAATGAGTTTCACCGTCTCCGCATCCCTGCCTTTGACTTAACCTGGGAACGCAGCGTCGGGCGACCGAGGCTCCGGGCAAGTGTCCTGCCCTCTGACCCTAACATGGTTAAAAGTTCCACGACTTTACTTGAAGAGAAAGCATAAATAATATCAATAAGGTCCTTGCAGATTTTTCAAACAACTGGATTTTGTAGGACCTTTGAATTAAAACCTATTCTTAGCAGTATATTCATAGGTGCATTACTCAGTACAGACTCATTACTGTAACTGGCACCTGTAATATTCGGTGGCTTGGGCAGTAAATGTTTGTTTCTTGACCTTGTCACGGTCCCACGTGGACTGAGAGAGAGACCCTGCTTGCTGCCAGCAGGCTGGGGCCCAAGCCCCTTCAGATCAGTGGTCCCGCTGTCCCTGGGGACGTGAGCGCCCGTCGCCCTGTGCGTTGGGGAAAGGGAGGCAGAGGAGGTGGCCTGCTGGTGATCCAGCCCAGCACCTGGGAACGGCAGGCCTAAGCCACGGGATCTCCCCGTGAGGAAAGGATCTGTGAAACATCTCACCGGGAGCAGCGGGTGTCCCAGGATTCCCAGCTCAGCGTCTCCTTATTGGAAAGGAACAGACAGTGTGGACGCGAGTTCATCCCCACAGGCCACCAGCTCCCCCGCCAATTACTTAGACCCCTCAGAGCACAGGCCTGAGCTTTGGTGCCCCTGGCCGGTCAGTTTGTGGGGTGGGGTTTGCGCCCAGCGGGTGCTCCGAGGCCGTCCTCCCGCTCACGTCCTGTCCCGCCCGCCTGCCCCGCCCCCAGGCTCCCCCTATCGCGACAAGATCACCATCGCCATCCTCCAGCTGCAGGAGGCGGGGACGCTGCACATGATGAAGGAGAAGTGGTGGGGGGGGGCCGGCTGCCCCCAGGAGGACGGCAGGGAGGCCAGCGCCCTGGGCGTGGAGAGCATCGGCGGCGTCTTCATCGTCCTGGCCGCCGGCCTGGTGCTCTCGGTGTTCGTGGCCGTCGGCGAATTCCTGTACACGTCGCGGAGGGGCAGCGACGTCGAGCAGGTGAGGCCCCTCTCTCCCTAGGGCGGGCGGCTTTCAGCCCGGGTGACCTGCCTGGAGTTTGGGGACTTTCCGGGGCGCCCACCCCTCTCAGTACCATCTGCTGAGTTCGATGCCCGGAGGAGCCGTTGTTGAGTTAGAGCAGAGAGCTGCTGAGCCCCCGCAGGTGCCACCGGCTTCGGCCCCATCTCCTTAATGGGGAGACGAGAGCAGCACCTCGCGGGTGAAATCCGGCGGGTGCTGCTCGGGTGACAGGGCAGAAGCGCAAACCCAGTTCCATTCTTCAGCGGACGTTCGCTCTTCGGTTAGAAACCCTAGACAGAGCGAGGAAGAAATAAATCCAAAATTGGAAAAGAGAGAAAAAGGTCTTGGAGAGAAATAGTACCATCCCGACCTGTCGATGCCGAGCCCACACGTAAGGCAAAGCGATTTATATAAAGATATAAACATCGTATTTCCAAACTCAGCCTTTGCCTCTATCAGGGTCTGATTATAAAAGATCACTCACCTTTTTTTGGCCAGGAATATGGTAAAGTAGCTAAAATGATGCTAAAACATATTAGAAACGATTTTCCCAAATTGCGTTTAGGATGGCGGGTGATTTCTACAGTCCCCATGTTTTCGCATGACTTTTATTTTCGATGGAAATCGCACGAGGAGCTCGCACTCCTCTGTTGTGATCAAAGGCAGTTTCTTCTCCAACACACGGAATAAACAGTCTCGTGGCCCTTGCAGGGGACACGGCCACGCGCTAGACGTGAGGCGCTCTCAGCATTTCGGACGCGGGCGGTCAGTGACCGGGCTGGTCTAACGCTCGGCCCCCCCTGCGTTAAAATCCTCGATAATCCTGACGAGGCTCTGCGTCCTCACTTTGCACGCCGGCCTCACGGCCTGTACAGGGGCGCTCCCCGTAAGCCCCCGAAGCCGGGACGGCTTCGCCATGAAAATGCCCCCAAGTCCCACGGCAGCCGTGAGAGCAGCAGGCCCCGCTCCCGGGCCTTGCAGAGAAGCCGCCTGTACGCAGGAGGGCGCGGGGCTGGCCTGCTTCGCTTTAACCGGCAGCTTGCGCCTGAGGGGCCTCGCGCTGCGCAGCCGTTTGACCAGCGGACGCCTGCGTCCCTTACGCTTGGATGTGCTTGTCGCCACCGCCAGCCCCATTCGCTGTGAGCTTTCATTTGAACACTCATTTTTGCTTCTGATTTATTCGTGGGTCTGTGTTTTCTCATTTCCTGTGCATGCGAGGCTTTTTGTGTGTGTCACGGACCACAGTGTGAGCAAACCCTCCAACCAACTCCACCCCTGGAGCCACTCTCTCTGCGGACGTAGAATGTGGCAAATTAACTCGAGAGGAGAGAGGGGCTGGGACACGGTCGTCAGTTCACTCTGTGTAATCAGTTTTTTTAAAAAATGTGCTCCCAGCAGAAACTGTCTCTCCTAATTGGCGCTGCTGATGCTCTCGGTACCCACGAAGCATAAATAGCCGCCTTCCCCTGTCCCCTTAAGACACAAAACTCCCGTGCTCTCGACGCCAGCTCCGTGGTGGGGAACAGATGGGCGCTGTGTGTTGAAACGGGCGTTAGGGGTGTACAGACCCCAAGACACGTGAAGTTACGGGGACCTGCTCTGCCACCCAGTTACCTCAGCTCTGTCTTCATGCATTAAAAATAAGCAGCTGCTTCCTTACGGAGAAGTAGGCTCAGGCTTTCAACAGTGCCAAACAGAAAAGAGAACGCTAATGGTGTGGAATGCGTTCACCTTCGCAGGCCTCTCCTCGTATTTCCCCCTCCCCACCCCAAACGCGCTGTCGGTTCCCCAGCCCCAAACAACCCGAAGCCCTGACCTCTCGTTCTAGCTCCGTAACGGTGTTAATCTTCCATTCAAACCCGGTTCACTATTCAAACTGTTATTTAGACAAAGACTCAGAGATGCCTTAGATTTTAAAGATTCAAAAATGTGATCCAGAGAAAAACAAATGAAGCTTCTGGTGTCACAGAAGAGATGAGCTAAGGCAAACGTCACTCAGAAAGGCACAGCTCGCGGCCGGCGTGGCTCAGCGGCGGAGCATCGACCTAGGATCCGGGAGGTCGCGGTTCGATTCCCGGTCAGGGCACAGGCCCGGGTTTCGGGCTCGATCCCCAGCCAGGGGCGGGCAGGACGATTCTCTCATCACTGATGTTTCTCTCTCTGAAATCAGTAAGTATGTTTTTTAAAAGAGAAGAAAGGCGCGGCTCCGTCAAGAAGGATCCCTGCGTAGAAATTCATTAACATCCACCTTCCGCGTAACATTTGCTTGCAGAGCTTAGCAACCTCTGCAGGCTCTGAAAGACAGTTGCCCGGCGGCGTCTCTAAGGAGCTGTGATCTTTCCCCAGCCGCGACTGCCTCCTGCAAGCTTGCGGCTCAGCCCTAAGCTAGGGGTTCACGCCCCCCATCCTCTGGCCTCCAGGGATCGCCCTCTCTCTGCACCGCTGCGCGACGTTTCAGACGTTACACCGCCCCCTCCGCTCGCCCGCCGGCGGCTCTGGGCCATGTTCTCGCCCCTCGTCCCTCTGGCCCCTTGGCCGTTATTAGCTCATCGCTGGGGAGAAGACACGGGGGAGGAAGTAGAGGGGAGAATTAACATCCGTGTTAGCCGCAGGCCTCTGTGGGTTTATTTTCACCTGCATCCGAAGTGCTGTGAGCAGTCGCCGCTCTAACTCCGCCTGGTGACAGAAAGCCAGCTGCGTGTTTAGCTTGTTGGGACAGGACGTCGCTGTCCCCTGGGCTTGTTTGCTCTTCTCAGGGCCAGGGCTGTGGATGCCTTTCACCTTCCCCCAAACCGGGACCCGTGGTTCTTTGTTCTCCTTAATGGGATTATGACACTCGAAGTGACCCCCAAAACACGGGTCTCAGAAGCCCAGATACGCCACCTGTGAGGTCGTGACATTTGCCTTCTGTCCTCTTAGCCTTAACTGGGATCCAGCTTCTGAATCGCGAGTCTCTCCCATCGACTATTTTCTCCATTAAGTCCTGTTCAGGAAAGTTGACTCTCACTTTCCTCTTTAAATTAATGTACTATTAAGAAAACATCTTTAAATTACACTAACATTTGTTTACTGTTATTGAGGTGAAAGCAACATCCTGTTTGCCCCAGGTCGGCATCCACATTTTTATAATCAATAGAATCGGTGTTGGATTAAATATTATATTTAGTTTTATAGTTTGTTGATTCTGTATATAGAAATTATAAATTACAAAGGTTTATATTCCCAAGGATTATTTAATAAACCAAACATGCTACCAGAAAAGGTCAAGGGACAAAATCTGTTTTTTTACAGAGAATTTCCTTTAAAAGTGTCATTCAGACATTGAGATAAAGAAACGGCCCACCCCAAAAATCAGTATCTATGGACTACTTTAAACTGTGGCCTACCTCATTCTGACATTTACACATTAGTTTATGGTTTTCCGAATGTCCTCGACGTGGCGTTACACTGAGTCCTGGACGATTTTATTTCAGCTTCACTAACAGGGAAATAGATGTGAGTCAGCAGCCTGAAGTTCAGACTTTACAGTCAGAGGATGACTTTATAAATCAGCCAGACTTAGGCTCAAGCTCCAGCACAGCCGCCCGTGAATGACTGACTGTCGACGGGCGGCCGCCTTCCAGAGCTTGGTTTTAGCATCGATACCGCGATGCAGTTTCCAGTCGTAAAGCTGAAGGACTATTTTTCAAAACGGGCTCCACCGGCGAGCGTTACTCACACATGATGTTCACGGTCGAGTAACTGATGGAGCAATACGCCGGCTGCTCCTTTACTGCGTGACATCTCCGTGTGGTTGATGTAGTGTCCACGACGCGTTGAGTTTCAGCAGCAGGGACAAGCACCCAGCATCTCCCACGCTTACCGCATCACAGAATATTTTCTGCCAAAGCATCTCGCCAGACCAGCGTCCCGCAGGTCGTACTCCGGGGAACTCACCCAGGGAAGATCTAAAAACACCTTATGCCATGCCCAGCGTGCAGGTGCCATTCAGTAAATAATGGCATTATTATTGGGGGGTCAGTGCTTAGCTTCTCTGAGCCTCACTTCCCTCATTTGTAAAATGAAAATAATATGTTGACTTATATTTGCCATGAAAGTTAAATACTGTGATGGCATAGAAATGAAATCATTTATAAGAGTCCGGTCAACACACGTGGGTTAGCAGGTGCTGGGTGCCTAGGAAACCGAGCACCGCTCGCTGGTCCCCGGAGCCGCGAGTCCAGTGTATCAGCGCCTGAAAACAGGTTTCCAGTGTAGAGGCTCAGGCCTTCTCTGCGACCTTTCCTCACACAAGGTTAAAGATCGATGGCAAGTTCATCGCCCCCGAGAGAAGGACCGGGATTGGCAATACGTGCGGGTCCCCAGGGGAGGTTATGAAGGTCACCGCTAGAAATCCCGACTTAATTGGTCTGGAGCGGGAGCCGGGCGCAGTTTCCGCGGCACCGGCTGATTCTGGCGTCTGCGAGTCACGGTCTGAAGCAATCTTACCTGTGTGCTGGCCCTCGAGAAGCCTTGGCTGTCGGTCGGCTGATTCTGAGCAGGGCAGCCAGCACCCGGTCAGCATTGGATATTAAACAGACCCTTCCTAGGGGAATTCAGGGAGAAACTGCAGCTCTCCGAGAGAGCAATTCCACCACATCCCACCCATCACCTCCACGTTTAGCTGTAAGCCCTAGGCCCCCTGGGCGTGCGCAGGTGGGCGGCCGACTGCGCCCGGTGCCCTTCTCCCCGAGGCCCCCCGTGGATTCCCGGCACCCGGCTCCCTGCCCTTCTCAACAGGCTCAGACGAGCCGTCCCTGCCGTCCGGGAAAGGACCCCTCAGGCCGCGGTGGCCTCACCAGGGACGGCTGCATGTTAAGTGACACTTAGAAGAAAGGGGTTGAACATGAAAGAAAAATTTCCAAACTCTATTCTCACGTCACTCGTTCTCAGACGTCTGTGTCCCTCAGCACCCCCGGGAAATTTATTTAAAATACGAATTCTAGAGATCCCTCCTCAGCAAGGCTACTGCAGGAACTGGCATTTTTAACAAAGGCTGAACGTGGATGTTTACAACCAACCACGTCCATTTTCTTAAAAATTTGCTTGCATGTAGCAGTTTCCTCCAGAATTAGGTCATTCGCTTACATTTTCATTAAAACTGCCCAATACAAGGGTAGGGTTTTTTTCAATAGCTTTTCTTACATGAGTTTTGTCCCCACAATAACCCAAAGTACAGCTGTTGCGCTTAAAAGCAGTTGGGGAGCAAGTTGTCGTATAAACTGATTAAACAGCCGTGTGGCTCCAGGTTTGGGGTGAGCACGAGCCTTCATGAGCCCTGGCAGGTTATCCGGAGCCTGTTCGCCGCTTCTACTTTGAGGAAAAGCGCTCAAGTTAGGGAGGGAACAGAGAGGAACGAGAAGACCGGACAAGGGTCGGGACTGTCGCAGGCCACAGGCCGGATTTGTTTCCTGACAAGCCCCTCTCGGCTAACGCAACTCGAGGGGGAGTAAAGCCTGTTTTGTTTTAGACTAAAGTTATGAGTTGAATTAGTTTAGAGTCCTTCCAGCAAACCGGGACTGCCTGGGCAATGCCCTGCGGAAAATCAGCCGATCACGCGAGCGCGAGGCCGTCTGAGGGAAGCCGTTTCCAAGCGCCGCCCTGCGTCCGGCCAGCACCGAGTTAGGCTCTCCGAGGGTCGCCTGCGGCAAAGCCGCGAAACAAGTCTCAGGCTCCGCGCCGTGACCCTCACGCCGTGAGGCCGGCGTCCCGGTGAGCCATTTCGGAGGCGCCCGAACCGCCCGGAAAAGCGAAGGGAAGCAGCGAGCTCTCCCTGCCGGGCTCCTCCCCGCAGGTCCGACCGTGGCCAACGGCAGCAGCAGTTCACTGCTACGGGTAAAGGGGGATTCGGCGGGAGCCGCCTCGATAGGCTTTCCCCGTGAGGAAAGCTCAGGTCGAGATGCTCAGCGTGCTTCCGACGGCCAGCTCTGAGCCCCTGGGACATAGACACAGCTCCACGGTCTCATCACAGCTCCGTGGAAAGGGTTCTACAGTTGCTTCCATTTCACAGGTGAGAAAACTGAGACTGAGCCCGAGAGGAAATAAACGGCTTGCCCAGCGTAGCCCAGCTGCTGAGCAGCGCGGCCGAGGCTTAAACGCCAGCACATGACACGAGGGGCAACTCACAGCTCTAATTCATGGCCGTACACGTAGATCCATGAAAAACGTGAACTGCACCCACTCGAGGAAAAGGGGGGACCCAGGACCCCAAGTTCCCAGGGAAGTGTCCTGTCTGCAGCGGCAGGAACCACGTGGGCGTCCTGCCCCGTTCCCGTCCTCGAGAGCAAGCAGCTAGGTGACCACCAGCGCGTCTGACGCTTTCTGAAATTAGAGTTTAGGTGTTTAAACTTCACGCTTAACCCTAATTTTTCCGTGACTCTTAGCGTGAGGGGTTCGGGAAGACGTCCTCCAGGGACAGAAGCCTTGGGAAGCTGCTGTGCGTTGTGACCCTAACTCGGCAGCTGTCTCCCCGTGTCACAGGCACCTTTCCTTCTGAGGCCTAACGGGCGCGATTACTGACGACGGGCCTCCCCTGCCCGCTGGACGGAGGTGACCGTCACGGTCTGCTTCCTGGGGACGCAGCGCGCGGTTCCCAGCCGAGGGCACGTACCCGGGTTGCAGGCTCCATCCCTGCCTGACGCAGGCAGGAGGCAACCAGTTGGCGTCTCTCTCCCATCGATGTCTCTCCCCCCCTTCCACTCTCTCTAAAAACCAATGGGAAAGGTATCCTCAGGCGAGGAGCCACCAAAAGCAGGGTAACGTCCACAGGACCAGTGCTACCCGACGGAAGCCCCGCCAGGCAGGCGTGAGCGAGGGCCTCGCCTTGGCGGGGGAAACGGCAGCGAGCCCTGTCTCAGCGCGTCTGTGACCGTGCATGCGAATGGCGGGGGAACCCGTGGTACACGTGCGCCATCCGCACCCGTGTGGCGTCTGCGGCCCTGACCATCGTCCCTCCGTGTCGTGCGTCACGCTCCCCACACGGTCCACAGCCACGTTTTCATTTCACCCACTCGGCTGCGTCATTGCCACTGGCAGATTCTCTGTGTGTTTTTGCGGAAAATATACAATTTAAAATTGTTTTTTTTTCTTTTTCTTTATCAGAAAGGCAAGTCCTCAAGAATTAGATTTTATTTTAGGAACAAAGTAAGGTTTCATGGGAGAAAAAAGCAAAGCCTTGGTGTAGAGAAGGTGTGTTCACTTTCTAGCATTACTGACGTGTCCTTTGCCTTGTCACCCTCAATGTTTGGACCAGCCCCGTGGGGAAATGACTAGTTTAACTCTGTGGGTGTCGCGGCGAAGGTAAGTGGTCTGTTCTGAGGGCCTGCCGGGGCAGTTTCATGTCACCGCGTCTGTGAGTGAAGCCCCAGCACTGGCCGGGCTAACCCGCTGCCTCAGTTTCCCCGGGGACGAAAGGGCGGGGGGCTGGGGGCCTTGCCTTCGCGCAGACTTGCCCTAGGCCAGGGCCCTGACCCGTAACCCAGGCGGGAGACGGAGCGGCGCCGTGGGGGCCTGGGGCGCTGACGCTCTTGTCTCGCTCCCCAGTGTCTCTCCTTCAACGCCATCATGGAAGAGCTGGGCATCTCCCTCAGAAACCAGAAAAAGTTAAAGAAAAAGCCAAGAACTAAGGGGAACTCGCCCTTCACCGGTATCCTCACTTGTCACCAGAGGCGAACTCAGAGAAAGGAGATGGTGGCGTGAGCCTCGGGACGCCCGTGGGCGCGGGAGGAAAAGGGCCCCGGCCGCAGGGTTTGGAGGCGGGATGGCGGACGCATGTCCGTCCGTCTATACACACAACGCGGTCATGCAGAGAGGAAATCCCAGCGTCTGGGAGGCTCCCTCGGACGGACCCGGGAGGGCGCCGCTTCTGCGTCGGCGGCTTCGGATGCTCACGGCTCGGCCTTCTCTTGCCCCCAGGGAGTTGCTGTGCTTTCTACGCACCAATAAAACAACAGGGTCTCTTTCTAGAGCGGGTCTGAGTGTCCGTCTGTCCCTGCGACTCCCTCCCACTCCCGAGGTCTGGTTGCCAGGCGTCCTCAGCTGCCAAGTTTTCAGTTTTGACGAATCCTCTGACCTGTTCAGACAGAGAGAGTCCTTTCTGGCTGAGTTTAAAAAAAAAAAACTACTTTTAGTTTATTCCAAATACCTAGTTATTACAGTAAAGTGAAACGATTCGTCTTTGTGTTTTAAAATTTAATTTTAGAAATAGTCTAAATGGTCCTGGGGACATCAGTGAGTATAGAAATATGCTAAAACGGGAAAATTCATCCAGAAAATAAGTGTCCACCCCAATCTGGGGCCACTGTAGGCTCGGGGTTGCCGTGGTGAGGAAGACATGGCCCCTGCTCTCAGTTTACAGCGAAATGTAAGAGAAAAACACTCTGTCGCTTAGAGCAGGAAGCCCGAGCGGAAGGCACACGATGGAGGCAAGTTCCGCCTGGGGTGAGGCTGGGAAGGCTTCCCAGAGGAGGCGCCATCAGGAGCGGGGAGGGACGCGGATGGGGAAGGTGTGCGCTCCAGGCCGGGGGAGCAGCATATTCCAAGGCACTGAAATAGAGGAAAAAGGCCACACGGGGAGAGAAGGGAGCTTGGAGCGGTTCACGCACAGGATGCCGCGGGCCGGGCAGGCGACCGCCGCTCTGGCTGAGTCAGAAAGAGCTGCAAGAAGACTGCGGGGGTGGAGGGGTCACCTAGAAGGCTCTCTCCACAGCCCAGAGGGTGGGCAGCAGAGCTCCAGGCCCCCGCCAGGTAGCCCAGTTGGACAGAACATCCTCCTGACGCACCAAGGTTGCGGGTTCGATCCCCATCAGGGCACATACCAGGAGCAACCAATGATGCAGCAATAAATGGAGCAACAAATCAATGCCGTGCTCTCTCTGTCTCTCAAATCAATCAAGAAATTAATAAAAATGCCTTTTAAAAAAATATAACCTTTAAAAAATCAAATAAACAAGAAACATAGCCCCCTGGGGGAGGCGTAACTGGGGCTGAGGAATCTTTCATTGTGTCGGGAAACCAAACGGAAAAGCGGCAGACGCCGGATCAATATTTCATATAAAAATCCCATTGATTTTGGTAGGATTATGCTTTAACTCAGAGAAACTTGTAGTCTAGTCCCTTTAGAGCTTGAGTACAAAAATATCTCCAGACATGAAAAGGAAAAGAAATCGCCTTTAAAACAGCAGGAACAGGTATCAGGTAGGTACTTTTCTGTGACTGTAATAACCACTCAGATTGGGGGTGAGTCAGAATTTTATTAGCAGAGCGGAGAAGATAGTGCAGGTCATTAAAACACATTAAGATGCTTACGTTCAACACTTACAGCAGAAACAGGACGAATCCAGCTGCCTGAAGAGACAGAATGAGCACATCAGAGGGTGAAACATCGTTTTCCAGTTCACTAAAAATTACACCAACGGCATTCACTCTATTTTACAGCTCCCAGTGTAACAGGCTGATAGTTTTGTCTCATTTCGGGAAATCCTGTTGTATATTGTCACATACTGTTATAGTAATTTGTGGGAAAAGAACTATATTAACGTTTAATATCTAAAATATATTGTGTGAACCTGGTTTACAGATAATTTAAGGCCCACTAACCACTTTCCTCTTCACTTACTGATAACCGAGTTTTCATTCAAGGTATGCAATGCTTTCTATGAGTAACTCTGTCAAAAAAAAAAAAAATCTAGCCTGGCCAGTGTGGCTCAGCAGCTGAGCATCGACCCAGGAGCCAGGAGATCAGGGTTCGACTCCCGATCAGGGCACAGGCCCAGGTTGTGGGCTCCATCCCCAGTGAGGGGCCTGCAGGAGGCAGCCGATCAATGACTCTCATCATTGATGTTTCTATCTCTCTCTTTTCCTCTCCCTTCCTCTCTCTGAAATCAATTTTTTAAAATAGTTTTAAATAAATAAAATATTAAAAAATATAGGACTAGACAAAATTGTAGAACTTTTTATGTGAACTACCACACGCAGTGCATAACCACCTCTCCTTGTTCCATATTTCATCCTGGAAGCACTGTGCACACGTGTGTATGTGAGCGTGTGTGTGTGTGCACGTGTGAGTCTGTGTGTGCACGCATCTCTGTGTGTCTGCTGTGTGTGTGCACACATGTCTCTGGGGGGCGTGAAGAACAGAGGGGCTAATGCGTTTAGCGGAGAGAGAAAGAAGAAACCACAGAATCTCTGGAACCTGAGAGCAACCATTTATCTCTGAGGTTTCCCTCCCTGTCACTAAAGAACTGACTCATACACAGTTAGGAGAAATCAATGGCAAAGTTAATTAAAAGTAGATCTAACATTCTTTCCTTCCGTAGATTGTTGATGCCAATAGAGAACGATCGCTCGGGTGAAATGTTCAGGAAGGGAGGGGAAACGATGTTCACAGTGAACATGGATTTTCCTTTTAAGTCTTAAATCTGGGTCTTTCTTGCCTTTAGTGTCAAGAAAAGGGGAGAGAGCCTGGCCTGAGCGCATTATATGAACATCGCAGCACTCGCTCGGAGGACAGTCAGAGCAAACGTTATTTTTCAGAGTTCAAAGCAGAGGTTCAGAGAGGTAGGCAGCTTGCTCACCTAGAAAGTGGCCAAAGGTGCACACGGCCCTGCCCACAGCACGACCACACCTGCTCCCTTCTGACTCTCAGAGATGAAACACTGCTGGCTAAACACGGGCTCTGCCCGGGGCACAGAGGATCCCACACCGTCCTCTCAGCTGCCTGTGACGTCCTTGCTCTGTTACGATCCCCCGGGGTGTTCAGCATCTGCAGACCTGCCAGTAGGTGCTTCCAGAATCTCTCTGAAGAGGTGGCCGGTGGTCCTCGTCTTCATGAATTCTGCATCTAGAGCAACAAATTTAAATAAATTAATATGAGACAGTTTTTAATAAAGCCAAACCAAGATCTAAAAGTAATTTAGTGGCATTAAGTATAACAAACCAAATTATAGTGATGAAGAAAATATTTTCATAAAAGTATCAAAAAATGACACTGAGCCCAGCCAGTGTGGCTCAGCGGTTGAGCATCGACCTAGGATCCAGGAGATCAAGGTTCGATTCCCGGTCAGGGCACATGCCCGGGTTGTGGGCTCGATCCCTAGTGGGGGGCGTGCAGGAGGCAGCCGATCAATGACTCTCATCATTGATGTTTCTATCTCTCTCCCTCTCCCGCCTCTCTCTGAAATCAATAAAGACATATTTTAAAAAAAAAACAACACTGAGAACTGCAGTGGGGGATGGGACTGAGTAGACTTGACCTCCAGGGGACCAAGATAACAAATGGCAGCTGGAGTTTTAAACTCATTATAACAAGCACATCATTAGTGTTGACCTTCTCACAACATCCCAACAAACATAGTGACTCACAAGCATGCAGGCTGCAGATGAAGTTAACTGCAAGGAATCGTCCACCAAAAGGCTTAATGACCCCGTCACAGATGTCCTGGGTCACTTCCTCTAGGAAATAACGCTGTGAGCAGCCACACTCCAGGGAGAGATGGATTCATCCAGGTGAGACGGATCCAGTAGGACCATGGGGTCCACTCTTTTCCACGGCTCTGCTCTCCTGGTCCTGCTGCATGTTGGCCCAGCTCAGCCAGAGCCCAGATTCAACGCCCTGTCGAGAGTCCAGAGATTCTGACTCTGAAGGTCACCGTCCTGGACAAGAGAACAAGTTGGAAGATGGGCGTGGAGGTGCAGGGACTCCCCGGCACAGTAGCTCTCTTCTGTAGTGGGGTTCACTCTCGTCAATGAGTAACGAGCGCCAGTCATAGCTGGCGTGTTATCATCAGGCATGTATTTCAAAGCGAAATCCAATATGCCTCCCGGATTCAACTGCAACTCACGCAGGGACGGGTGCGACAAGCTGTGTCTGGGAGAGAGAGGAACACACTCCCTGGAAGGATTTGTGGAGTGGAGGAGACAGTGTGCTTGGGTCGGGCGCCAGGTGAGCCTGGGCCGGGCTTCTGGTTGGACGGTCCTTTCCAAACCCGAGATAATATAATATAACCCCAGGGAACAGAGTTCGTTCTCTCTCTCTCTCTCTCTCTCTCTTTTTCTCTCTCTCTTTCTCTCTCTCTCTCGGGAAAATGTGCTCACCCTGTTTGTTTGTGGGCTCTCTCTGTAGCGACCATGAGGGTCTAGGCACCTGTGGCCACAGCAGACAGTGTGGGCTGCAAAGGACTAAACTTTAATATGAAACAGAAACTCTAGACTCTGGCCTTTGTTTTGGGCTGATGAAAACAAAATTGGATTTTTCTCTACGGATACGGGACATTGGAAACCCGGGGCAGCCTTCCCGAACAATCTTGCCACACCACAGTCTCCTGTTCCATGCAATGCTTTTCTCTTGATCCGTTGAAAGAACACAGTTTCCACCAGCAGCAAAAAGATTGGGATTAACTGGGGGCTCCTTTGCGTGGGCCTAGTTTTAGTAAATATTCCTGCGACCAGCCGCAGTAACACCTGTTCTACCTTCGAAGTTCATCATATGTCTCGAACGAGCTGCATGCATCTCAGGAATGCAAGGAGCTGCCAAATACAAAATAAATCAACAACCACATCATAGACTAGTAAGAAGACATGCTGTCATCTCACGTAATACAAAATAGAAGCTCTGAGTAAGATTCTGTTTCTATTACAGTTTTTAAAAGCCTCTCATATGAGAGAAATAGAAAGACTAAACACCAAAACTGAAGACACAGAACATTATGCTTCATGAGAAAGCTGAGGTGTATTTCCTGGAAGGATGAGAGCAGAATAAGGAAATTCATGAACGGAAGTGCTACTTAATCTAGAAATTATTAGGAAAGGAAGCTGCCCTGGCTGGTGCACTCAGTGGGTATAGCATCTGTCTGCAGACTGAAGGGTCCTGGGTTCAATTCCAGCCAAGGGCACCTACCTGGGTTGCAGGCTTGATCCCAGGCCCCGGCTGGGGCCTGTGCGGGAGGCAACCCATCAATGTGTGTGTGTCTATCTCTCCTTCCCTTCCACTGTCTCGGAAAAGCAGTGGAAAAAGTATCCTCAGGCAAGGATTAAAAAAAAAAAAAAGAAAAGAAAGGGCGTGTGTAAATATTGTGATCATGTACCTGGAAAAATCAACAGACTATTGAAAGTAATTGAGTCCATCACAGCTGCCAAGTCTGTGGCCAGTCTGCGGGAATCACTGTCATCACCCCTCCAGCACTAACTGCTCAGAACACCTGATATAAATGGGGTCTTATATTTACAATAACAATAAAATTATAAAGCACCTTGAAACAAAGTTAATAAAAAATTCACAAGAACACAATCGACAGCATGTTACCTCATCCTCTGGGACTCAGCTCCCGCAGACTGGTTTTCCTCGCGACAGGCCGTGGTCACGCGAGCTCTCTCCACCTTCTGTTCTCTCTTCTGATGCAATGGTTTCAAAGGCTCTGACTTTTGAGTAACAGGTTCTTTCTTCTGCTCCATCCACTCGGCACGTGACACCCTCTGTCGCATCTTCAGTTGCATTCATTGTTTCCTTTAGCTTCGGAAATGGTTTGGTTCCTTTTTATGATTTTCTCCTTGTTAAACATCCCATTTTGTTCAATGGTCTTTATTTCCTTACAGTTCATTGAGTTTCCTTAAAACAGCTGCTTTAAATTGTTCATCCAGTAACTAGAAGATCTGCACGTCTTCACGGTCAGTACCAGACTATTACTGTGACCCAGGGGCGATGTCAGCCGCCCTGGATTCACCGTGTTCCCTGGGGCTCTTACTGCTGCACATTTAAAGTAGCAGCCACCCCTTTTGTCTTCACTGACTCAGCCAGTGCATCCATGCTTGTATTTTTGCTCCAACAGTGTGGAAACCTGGGCTTCCACTGGGCTTTTGTCTGAGTCATTGTGTAAAACAGTGTCTTCAGGGGGCTCCCAGACACAGCCAAGGTGAGCTGGAGCCAGTGTCCTCGGCCAAGGTGAGCCAGACCAGAGCTGTCTGCCCATTTCCCCAGCACTTGAGCCAAGACACCTCCTGGTCCCTAGGTGTATGGGTCTAGATCCCACAGCTCCCACGGAGGCATGTTTGTCCCTGGATGGATGCTGAATTATTGTTCTGGTTGGGAGGAGACAAAACAAGTGATGCCTCCTGATGTCAGGAACAAGTGATAATGCGACATCACTCCTGGTGCCTCTTCTCCTAAAAGGCACTGCTTCCATTGTGAGGGCCCCACCTGCATCATTTTATCTAAACCTAGTCACCTCCAAATGGCCTACCTCCAATACCATCCCATCAAGGGGTAGAACTTCAACCTGTAGATTTTTGGGGACACCATTCAGTCCATAGCTCCCTGCAACTGATTGTCCTCCATGGAAACTGGGTCACCTACATGATTTGTTTGAGGTTCTAGCAGGAAGGCGACTCAGGAGCCATGGAGGGACTGGACCCAAAGGGCAGAAATCACATCTCTCCTGCCTGAGCCAACTTCCTTGAACTAGTTGCATAGGAAATGCCAAGCAGCCCACAACAGCACCTTTAAATGGGCTAAAGCACCAGTTCCAAGTCACTGGAAGGAGCATGGGGATTCCTTGCCACGGAGCCTGACCCCCTTTGTCTTATGAGTAGAGATGAGTAGCTGGGGCAGTGCCTAACCTATTTATGTCAAGTCAGCCCTGCACACCTGGCTGTAAGAAAAACAAGCAGAATCAGAGACCACGAGACTCACAGATGCCCAGCCTCAAGCAGCACCAAATTTCCTGAAAGTGCCTCAGTTGAGCAGAATTACTGCCCCTTTAAGCCACAATCGTTGCCGTTGTGTATCATCGGGCTTCAATCAGCTCCCTGGGAGATGTCCTGATTAAACAGATCTCCCAATTAAGCCTGTTCCAGTCGAGCGGAGCATACATTCTGATTAGATTCCTAATTTATACGGGAGGCTTTCTACTTTATGG